AGCTGCAGGGGGCTCGGGGAGAATTGGAGCCTGCTCCGAGACACCGCTGGGCTCGCAAAATCCAATTGACAATCACTTGCAAACCCCAATCCACCCTATTTTTCTCTATCTTTGTCTCTAAATCAGCTTCAGTGGGAGAAGGGAGATTAGGCTGAGGAGCAAGCGGAGATATTTCTGCTGATTGTTTGACGTTGGGAACAATAGTCCATAATATACTTTGTGTTGTTCTAATAGTGGGATCTTTGAGAGGAGGCACTGCAACATCCAAAGGCTGGCAAGAGTCCTGCAAATCTGAGGCTGCAAAGGCTGGCAGATCAGATTAGATTTCTGTTCTTGCCTGTTTTACTCTGCTCGGAGGATATTTTTGTGTGCAGTGGTTGGTGCAGAGCGATGCAAAAAAGCACTAAGAGGATGGTCTAAATAGGACCACTTACATTTCAGGATCAACTCACTGGACACGGATTTTGAACAGGTTTTGAAGAGTGTTTGATACCCCAGAACATCCATATTAAGAACTATTTGCCTACTGGGATCAGCTCCCCAGACTGCTGATGTCTGCAGTCTTTAGATAAAAGCCACTCCTTCCAGGTAGCTGATTTTTTTTTAGATGTTTTTTGGGGTATTTTTTGCATGCAGATTTACCTGCAGTTACTTTTGCTTGCCTTTTACTCTTATTATGTGAACTTGGATGGGAGTAGGAGTGAGATTTCACGGACTGGGTCTGCTTTTCTTCATTTCAACTAATGTGGCATAGAGGAAGGGATCTGTAATTTTGGCATTGCTTTATGATACTTTGCAGAGGCATAAGCTCAGAGGAGCCTTCAGGCAGTCTCTGCAGCAGGAGCAGGGATGTCCTGGGTGATTTCCTCCTGCCTTGAGAGGAGGAAAAGCCCAAACTGGCCAAGATAAACCCCAAGGCCAGGTTGGACGGGGTTTGGAGCAACCTGGGCTAGTGGAAGGTGTCCCTGCCCATGGCAGGGGGTTGGAACTAGATGGTATTCAAGGTCCCTTTCAATCCAAACCATTGTGTGATACTGTGAAGGCAGCAGGCTTAGGTGCTGCACTTCACTTTTCATTCTGAATTGTTGGGCAAATGTGGAGCCCGGCCATTCATCAGACCTGGGGACCGTGGTTATTTCTGGACCACAAGAAGGCCACAACAAGAAGAGTTAGCCATGTGTGAGCATTACTCTCCAGGCTGATTTTCCACAATAAATAAATAAAAATAAGCGAGAAGCATTAAAAAATTAGTTGTACACATGACTGGCACATCATTTCCATTCAAATGGGTTATACCGTAGGTGCGGATGAGATCATAGGCTGCTATTTAAGGAGGAAACCTCTACTTACATAAATGTCTGATTATGCAACTGTCATGGAAACCAGAGATGACAAAGATGTATTAGATTAGCTTGTCCATTCCCTCGGAGTGCAGGATTGTTCCTTGTGGTTTATTTTTTGCTCAAGATTTTAAGAACTGATCGGTGGCTGCTGGATGCTGAGCTTGAGAAGAAATGATTTATAGTATGAGCTGAGCTGTCATTTTTCTAAAGGTGATTCGCTTTGGAGACTCAAGAATAGAAGTGCTTGAAGTCACTGGTGGCACCCAACAATCCCCACACCAGTGTCTAGTTCATCCCTGTACTTATATGCTCAGAGTGTCATGGCTTTCACTGGTTAAGATGCATGCCAGAGTCTTAGAGGACATTTCTCTACCATTCTGCCTGACCTTTCTTTCATTTTCATCCCCTAACTGTGTTGTCTTTCCAAATAATACTCCCTTTTCTCTGGTTTTGCACCCTCCCAGCGTGTCCCTCACAGTTGTTGCTTAGCCAAGCTATACAAATTTAGCTGCTCCTAATCTTTTCTCATAGGTCAGTCTTTTTAGCCACACTCATTTTTGCTGCTGCACAGGGAAATCGGTGGAGATTAGTATTTTAATCTTCTTTCCCTGTTTAAAGAAACCCCAGGACACACACTGAATGGTTTTCCTGTGATTTTAAATTAAAATGTTTAAAAATAAATGTATTTATATCTCTTTTACTCTGCTTTCACCTCTAGTTCCTCTCAGTCATTGATTTGGCTGCTCTTCTGCCTTATTAGAAATGGCTTTTTTTTAAACAACTTAAACTTCAGTTTGGTTCCTTATCATGAACAGGGTGACATTGTTATGTCATGAGCTGTATGGTGTAGTCTCTCCTTAATCTGCAGAATTGACCTGAACTGGTTTTAAACCAAACCCTCTGGGCTGTCCAGTCTCACCAGACATGGGATTTGGGAGGCTGCATAGCAACATGAAGACAAAAGGATTAATGCTGCCAGTGGTATTTACTCTCCTTTTTGTGAACTGGTTCCTCTTTGATTGTGTTTTCTGCTCATAACGTGTTTGTTGCTGTTGTTTGCCTTGAAGGTGGTCTCCTTGCTCTCTCTTAATCCCAGTGGTCAATGAACTCAGCTCTTGCTCCCCTCATGTCCAATTCAGATAACTACATGCAATTACAATATGGAACTTTGATTCCTAATACCTATCGAGGACCACGTTCAAAGATTTTTAAACAAGAAATGCTTTTTATCTGTAGTTTGACTTTACCCTGGGTCACAGGGCAAATTAAATTCAGGCTCCATCAGACCCCAGGAAGGAAACAGACTGCAGAGCTGGGCCTTCTCCTCTGATGGGAGGTCCCAGACCCAACCTGTGCCCGACCATTAACCACCAATGCCAAGAGAAAGCTGCCACTGCTGCTGCAGAACGTGGGGAGAAGCCGATACCTGATGAGCAGGAACTCAGAATACAAAAGGGCTTCACTCCGAACTGTTGCATCAGGGTTACAAGCTAATTCTGGCCTCGCTGAAGTAATTTGAAAAACTCTCTTAGTGTGGGCATGACTCCTGCTGACAGTCCTGCCAAGCACCTCAGCACTGACCCACAACACCTCCCCTATCTCACCGTGCGGCTCCGGGGCTATTTTAGCCAGGGCTGTCAGTGGAACCCAATTGTTCCATTATGTGGTGGCTTTGCAATGTGGAAAAGTGTTCAGGAGGGACCACTCTCCAAATGAGAGGAGAGTGACTCAGTCTCCGGGGCCAATTCAGTCACTGACTTTTATTTATTTATTATTTTATTTTTGGTTTTTTCCCTGAGGCAGCTGATACAGGGAGCAATTACAGTGGTGATTTTTCCATGCTATGGATCCTGATTGACCATGCCATGGAGGGACATGTGCTTATCTCACATAAAACCCCCCTGCAGGGCAATGCTTTCCAGGCACTGCTGAACTGAGACAGATTTGACCCTAAAGATGAAAACTCGCATTGTCTCACCCTGTATATCCTTCCATCAGAGAGAAGACAATGAAACATAGTGTTGTGGGATGATTTATAAGACAAAAGCACTCCAGCTACTCATCCTAAATCACAGCAATTGCACTACGTGCAGCCAAGCTGACTGGTTTTGGAGCTGGTCAGATGAGTTCCAACCTCCTCTTCAAGTATTTAAGAGAAGTCCTTAACAACGGGAACCTGCTTTGTTGCACTTCTTAAAAGAACAGGTTACCCCAGGGAGAACTTGCTGGGTCCCCTCCCCATTCCTCTGCAGCAGATGCCCATGTTCCTGCTGTCCCCTCTTCCACGAACAGACACATTTCCGCAGGAATGATCCCTGAATTTCATCTAAGAGCCTTTGAGAGCCTCCTAAATAATTTCAGCATGAGCTATCCTTAGGAAGTTAAAATCAAAGGCAAAAGTACCAGCATATTTAATAAGATGGAAACAGCAAAATGAAAACCACATTGAAGGATTTGGGAGTTTCTCCCTGTATGGATTCCGAAAGGGGTCACGGGTTTGCAGTGCTCTGGCAAGCACAGAGATGCTGTGCATTGAGCACAGGCAGTAATTACATCTCCTCTTTCTAAATTATGTTATCAGGAAACATCTATATTGTTTGCATGGGTCTAGATTACGCTCTGAGAATAGAATGTTCCCTGCATAAAGAGCACGGCTGGAGTAAATCAATGAGGATGCACTCAGAAACATCAATTAAAGGTAATACAAGTCTTTAGTGTGGCATCAGGGAGCGAGCAGGGTTTGAAATTCTGATCTTCCCAACCCTGCCTTCCTCCCTAGGAAAGCAACAAAGCAGAACTACTCAGAAATTCATAAGGTTTAAAAATAAAATACTTGTCTCCTCTCATCCTCATCTTTACTCAGTGCTGGTTCCCAGCATAGTAGATGAACGTAATGTTTTTCTTCAGGAGATATCAAACTTCTGCTTGGTTTAAGGAGCTGCCTTTCTGCAAGTGTCACGAGTTGAGCACCTTGGTTTTGAGGTATCTTCTTTGGGGGACCTGCAGTCTGATTGCCCAAGATGCCCAGAGCCTGCCAGTGATTCACCAGCAGTCAAAGAAACCAGGCCCTCAGGTCCTGCAGAGCAGCACCTAGAAATTCAGATTTTCAAAGTGAACAGTTATGTATGAATACAAAATAAGAGCAAAAGAGGTGGAAACAAAACCTCGACCTTTTGCCTTTCTAGTATGTAGTACCTGGAGCTCATCTACAGAGGGATGAGTGATCTGGTCACCTTTGCACATCGTTAGTAAGGGACATGTACACAAACAGCATCAACACGTTCTCCCCTGGTCCCAGAGATTTCCTGTTATTGAGGCAAATGGAAAATTAATGTGACTCTTCCTTCAGCCTATTAATTCTGCGTCCCCTTTTGCAGACGTTGATTCAAATGCAAAACCTGAGCCTGGGCTTGAACCTCCCCTGTGCTCAACTCAGGGATCCTGCTCAGGCCCATTTGTTACCTATGTGACACTCATCCATCACTGTGATTGTAACAGTGAGAGGTGGAAAATTTTCTCCCAGCTACTCGGAAGAAAAAGGACCTTACGTAGAATTTATAAGCCTCTTCAGCTGAGCTAATTATTCAGGAAAGGGTATTTTTCACTGCAAGAAGCACAAGGCGAGCAGATTCCATTCATAGCTCAAATACCAAACAGCTTTAACACCTTTGGTTTTAGTGGCTTATTTTATTAATATTAAGGTGTGTGTTGGGGGGGGGTGGATTTTAGTGTTTTGAGTTTTGATTTTTTTTTTTTCTTTTTTTTTTTTTTTAATGCTTTTTCCCTTCGGGCAGAAAGCTGCTCCCTTTTCGTCACAGCCCCGATAATGAATTGCAGTGTACAAAGCCGGTCATACAATACGCAGCAGCGGCAGCGCGGAGCGAGAATCTTTGGGAAGAGTTTCCATAGAAACATTGACGTCCTCCTGGCGAACAGGACACCGAGTTCCTTCAATGGGAGGTATGGGGTTTTAAAGGAGCAGCGAGGTGGCGGGAAGCCAAGCCAGCAGAGCTATGACTCTGCATCTCCCAGCAGAATAAGGGGTTGGAGCTGGTGGGAGGGAAAGGGGGGGGGGAAAAAAAATAACCCAATTACCCTCGCATTATCAAAATGTCGGGTTGGATGGTTGCTGCTTGAGCGGTGCTGTGTAGAGCCTGGTAAATAATTAAACCGCTGACCGCGAAGTGCGCGAGAGCCGGCAGCCAAAAATCAGAAATACTCAAGGCTGTGAACTAGCGGCTTCTAAAAAATCTTGTCAGATTTTGTCACAGGCTTCATCCCCAGAAGCCCTAAATTCAGCACAAATCAGCATGACGCAGGCACAAACCTCCCGGGGACGGGCAAGGTTGCACCCGGCGATGCGCACCCTCCCCTTCCCTGCTTGTCTTGGAATGAGACAAGTGTTTTGCTAATGTTCCAGCTCTGTGTTTTAAATAGCCTCGTGTCTACCCAGCTAAATAGTGGCAGAGCAGCCCTGTCTGGAAGAGGCTGTTTCTAGAAGCAAAACAGTCAGAGGAAATGTTTTTGCCAGAAATGTTGGAAATCATACAAAACAAAAAGGGAGCATGCAAAAGAATTCGCCGCCGAGCGCTCCCCGGTGATTTTGTTCAGGCTCACAAAGCGCTTTGTTTCGGAGCAATCCCCAGATAAGATTAATGAAGGGGACAGACATCCCTTCTGGGAAAGCCTGTGACCCACCCCAAAGCCCTGTCCAACACCAGGGATGTCGAATGGAGTCTCCCCACTGGCTGTGGGGGCTTTGGCTCTGGATCCAGCAGCGAGAGTGCTCAGCCCTCAGCCCCAGAAAGTGAGCAGCCATCCAACCCAACATGGTCCTCTCAGCCTACATGGCTTCCTCTGGCTCTTTGACTCCAGCTGGGTGTCTCTGCAAAATTCAGACAAGTCTCTGGTGCAGTTGAATACATTTCAGGGTCTTATATGTATCACCCTCCCAAAGAGTCACAGAATGGTTTGGATGGGGTGGGACCTTAATGCTCATCTAGTCCAACCCCCTGACATGGGCAGGGACACATTCCACTATCCCAGGTTGCTCCAAATCCCATCCAACCTGATGTTGTGTCCCTTGGACACTTCCAGGGATGGGGCAGCCACAGCTTCTCCGGGCAACCCATGCCAGGGCCTCACCACCCTCACAGGGAAGAATTTCTTCCTGATATCTAATCTAAACCTGCTCTCTGTCAGCTTTCAAAATACCCAAGCATCTTTCCAGGAGGAGTTGCATGAGGTGAGGAGCGCCCATTGCAGCTCTTCCCCTATTGCTCCCCAGAGCTCATATTTCAGGGGTGACTTGTTGTTTACCCAGCAAACCCCTGTGGTATTTGGTTTGCTTTGTGCAGGTGAGATGGGTGGAGGGTGTGCTCCGCTGGGACACGACGCTCAGCAGGAACTTTGGTACAGGTAGGAGCAGGTGCTGTGGTCTTGAACCAGCCTTGTCCTCTCTGCAAGCCAGGTTCTATTATTCAGAAGTATCTTGCAGGTTTCTGTACATCTGTTCCTTGTTAAAATCCCTCCAGAGTGATTAGTGGAAAATACAAAGCATCCACAACCCCATCACAGTCGAGTGGGAGCCTGACATACCCTGTACCTTCCACAGTCTGCTCCAGATAGTCTTCAAAGGCAAACCACTGCAGTGTGGCTGCTGACCTTAATCCCTGTCCTTTACAGTGCTCAGAGTCTGTGGCTATTTATACTGCTGCTATTGCAATGCTGAAAACTCTGTGCTGAAAGCTAAATTATTTCAAATCTATATGGGTATGGTGCTACATGAAGTTCTGGTTTATAATTTTACAGCAAAGATATCCATTTATTCAGGGGGCTCCAGGTAGGACGTTTGGTACAGGATACGGAATTGATCTATTTGCAGAATGTTTGCATGGAGATCATTTTGGTTCAACCTGTTCAGCAAGATTCGCTGTAGACACAGAAAGACAGAAAAGTGGGTGAGTCAGAGGATCTCAAAGAAGTCTCTTGAGTTTTAGGGACTTATTCATATTGTTTCAAGGGATGATGGCAGGAATTACTTTGAAGAGAGTAGGAAGAGAGGGTAAAACAGATGTCCATCTTCCTGAGCAGTACCTTGCTCTTTTCATCCATTCATCTCAGAGTGTTTACTTTATCCTGTTTTGTGGATGCAGAAGACTTGGAAATAAGGACCCATTTAGAATGAGGGATGTTTTACTTGAGCACTGTGTCCTTACTTACAACCTAGGGGAATTTGAAGGCTCATTATTCTTTCCTGATTAACATCACTTTATAAAGTGTTCAGCTAGCATGGCAATGAACTTGATTTAAATACCCAGGTAGGCTGGATTTGCATATGCCAGGAAGGACAGAAGACAAACCAGACCCCCACACCCATCACGATAAGGCAGCTGGGTCAAGGTGGGGCTGGGGACAACGCCTGGTGTTGGATTTGGAGAGGCAGAGACCAGCCTCTGGCTGACCAAGCCAGAGCACAAGGGACTCACATGCTGGCAGGGACCTGTTTGTGCACACGCAGAAAGAGGATGCTCAATTATACTGCATTAGGAAGAAATGCAGGTAAAGCAGGGGGGATGTGCTGGTTTGACTGCAGCTGGACCTCCCAAGCACCTTGACATGGTATTTCTGGAAGAGCGAGCGATAAGTGAAATTATCTACTTGACCGATATTAAACCGGCACGCAACAGCAGTCCTGAATTTCTTCTGAACCAAATTTTATCATGGCACCTCCTTTGCCAGAGGTGCTCTCTCCTCTCTGCTCTTCCAGATGATCCACAGAGCTCGCTGTGGGGTGCACAGGGCTGAGGTGATTTTAACTGAGGCACAGGCACTGCCCCAATCCAGCTGCTCACAATCCAGCTGAACAAACCCTCTCTAGAGAGGCTTAACGGAGGAGCTGCACTTCAGCCTTATGAAACCTGATGGCCCCTGATCACCCCGTTGGAGCAGTGCTGAACTGAGGGGCAAACTCCTCATTGTGTAACAAATAATTCCCATTAAGGGCAGATTTATTTGCTGCTGGCAGAACCAGGCTCTGTGTGAGGGGCTGCAGCGACGCCTCAGTGAATCTGTACTGGCTCACTCTCAGCGGAGAGTTCCTACAAATGTCTCTGCATACTGCTTAAAACTTGTGTTTGACTTACAAAGGAAGACAGCCAGTTCCCTTTCCATACCTTGTAGTCAAGAGCTGTCAAGCACATGGAGATGTTTATATTCAGGCATTTCTGTTCAGAGGAACCGCCAGTGTCCTGCTCAGTGGCTGAATCAGGGAAGTCTTTCCCTGCACCTGAGCCTACACGGTCGTTCCCTTTGGGTGGAGCTTCTGGAAAACTGCAGCCACAGGGAACCACAGCCAGCAAACATTTTGCAAATCCACTACCCAGACCCACTCCTGTTCTTGGACTAGAGCCTGTGCAAACAGCAGGGAAATTGTATTCCCTGTGATATATCGTTTGAGTTTTCCTTCCAACAGATCCTGCTTCTTTTTCACATCAGCTCCTCAGCTGAATCTAGGATGCAGGAGATGCTCAATCCTGCCTTCTGGGCTCTCCTTCATCAGATTTACAACGTTTTTGTGCTACAACAGTAATCTCAAACCGCTTGCATTAAATGCCACGCTACTGGAGAGCCTTTTAGAAGGGCTCTGAGTCTTTGATCATTCCTTATATTAGCAGAACACAAAGTATTTCTTTCAGTAATGGAAGATGAATTCCCACTTTGTCCTTCAAAATGGTGGTGGCTCCCTGTGCCTCAGATGTGAGGTATTGCTGCAGCCATCTTGAACATCTAAATTTGGTAAAAACAGCTGCAATTTGCAAAGCGAGGAGCCCATAACTTCAAACACCGCACTGGAGAGCGAGAGCGTGTGCTGCAGAATAGCAAAAAGGAAGAATAGATTTTGTTGAGGGTGGGAATTCGGTACCAAAAATTAAGCATGGCCATAACAATTACAGCCATCTAGTGGGCAAAATATTTTTTTTAAAATAAAAGTACTATTGGTATTCAATTCCAGAAGTAAAATATTTGTGAAAGAAAGAGGTTTAGTAAATAACTTAGGGAGCAGCTTGCACTGGGTTTTTTTGTTGTTTTGTTTTTTTTTTCTTTTACTCTTCTTCTGGAAAACATAAAATCTTAAATATTTTCCTTCTTGCAGTGTTGTCTACAAATATTAGGAAAATTAGATCTCATGTGGTGCTCCTGTTTTAAGAAGGGACTTGCTGAGAGGATCCAACGAAGTGTGTTATTGCTCACACTGCAGCTGAAGGGACAGGACTGAATTTTTTAACAGAGATTTCCTTTCTCCAACTGGTTCATTAAATTTTAAAGTTAGATATATGACAACACAAGCTTTAAGTTAAGTACTTGGCAACAAATCAACAGGCTTCAGAGAGTGATTAAGGATCTCTTTCTGCAGACGCTTTGTGCACCTTCTTTTGGCTCTTGATGTCATCCATCATCTCAGGAGCTCCTTGGGCTTCACAGGGTATTTCATGTTGATATGATCTCTAGTGAATTTCTACTGAAAAAGCAAATTGGAAAGTAAGCATTTCATCTGAATCTTTGCATATCAAAAGGAAGAAAAAGTACATCCCTTTCTTTATCTTACTTTTATATGGAGCATATGGGCTGAAACGCTGAACTTCAGATCTGAATTCCAAAAACTCCAAAGCATTTTGATTTAGCCCATAATAAAATCTGCAGTGGGATTTCATAACAATGCTTTTTAATCCACCTCCAAGGAGGGATAAGATTCTCTGTGAGAGGGTTTGCTCTGTTAGAAGTTTTTGGGGTTGTTTTTTTCTTAAAAAAAAAACTTAGTCATCTGTATTCAAGATTTTAAGAACATATTTACAGAACAAACAAACCCTCTCAGAATAATCTCCGCAGGCTTTTGATCGCATGCCTCGGAGTGGAAGAACAGGCTATAGGATCTCTTAGCTCTGTGACAAGAAATAACTGGCTGTGAATTTTGGAAATCCTCTTTGGCGTGTGTTCAAGCCGGTATTAACGCAAACCGCCCCATGCCGATCTCCTGACTCATCCCAAACGGCAGCTTCTGACACTCATCCCATCCGTCGCCGGCCTTCCCTAGGAAGAAAACAAAGCAGCTCCTCCCTTCCTTCCTGAAAGCTCACGTGCCCAAACTGCTGCTGAGCAGGGGCATCTTCTGTGTTTCCAAGTGTTTAATTTGGGGTCTGACCCTGTGCTTGGTGTGTTTGCGATGGTGTAACTGGTCTCACCTCCCCAGTCCCTGGGCACAGAGTGTCCTTTAGATAAGCCCCAGTGGTTCCACGTTCGGGGCACTCTTTGCAGCAAGTATTTCGAATTCTCTTTGTGTCTCTGGTGTAAATCTCTTTGAAGATAGCTATGTCAATTATAGCATTATGTTGCTTCTAAATCCTATATGTATTTATAGGACTCGATGGTCCCTTCCAACTCTACGATTCTACGGTGTTTGTGTATTTATGTATTATTTACATAGGGTATAAATATCCAAGTAACCATTATCCAGAGGTAGACAATGTTTTCAAAGGAAAATGCTGTTTAAACTCTGCAGTCCTGCAGAATCTTGTGTACTGGAGGAAATCTAGTCCCACACTTGTTTGTGCCAGTTCCAGGAGGTGTTTTTCCTTGTCCCACAGGCGAGAGGTGAGGAGTGAAGGGCAGAGGCTCAGCTGCTCTAACTGTGAATTTCTTGACCTCTGACAGTTTTGGTTTTTCTAATCATAGCCTTTTCTAAGAACAGGCTGTGCAGTATAACTTGCCATATAAAATCCCGGGTAGATACAGAGCTGGATTTGTGATGCAGTTACTGGTATTTCATTAACCTTTATCTTGACAAGTGGAAATAACGCGCTGTGATTCAGGGGAAATTTTTCACTTGCAGAGAAAAATGGTGCCAAAAGAAAGCAAATGGGCTACAAATTAATAAATGCAAGTCTCGATAGCAGAAATCAACTTCCAGCTGGCCTTGGCCCCTCGTGCATGTTTTGGTAGCGTTGGGCTGTTGGGATGATGCTCTGAGGGGCACAACAGAGCCATGACTTGAACACAGCTCTGGAGCCCAGGGGTGACCACAACCAGAGCTGGGGACAGGGTGATCCCCCTCCAGGCTCTCTCCTCTGTTTTTTTCCACCCAGATAAACACATGGGCCTCAAGGATTGTCCAAACTCCCCATGGACTGTGGCTTCTCCATGCCGTGTTGTGTCTTCGGCCCTGTGGTTCCACTGGGCTCACCTGCAACAGGCTTTTGCTCTGCAAAAAGGCTGCTCATGGTCCTGATGACGTGGATATGCAATCACTGACCTCCAAAACCCCAGGGAGAACCATTTCTAGGAGGGCCTGAGCTAAATACAGCCTCTCTACGACTGCAGCCTCACCAGTGGCCAGCAGATTCCCCCAGAGGAGACGACAGAGCTGGTGAGTAATAAGGATAACTGATGTTTTTTCAAGTCAAAACCAGCCTGACTCACCACTATTTTGTTTCTTTTATTGTTATTTGTGTTGCTCTGATGCCAGACAGCAGATCTCAGTTATTGAGCCCAGGGTTTTATCACCATTTAACAGGAGAAAGTGCCCTCTGAAATGCTTCCAAACTAAATCAGTAGGAGGGAAAAAAGAAAAGGCAAAGCCACTTGCTCACTGCTGCCCTGTAATCTGGGGCTAAAAACCCTCCATGCTCCACTCCCCACTAAGCACCTTCACTCACCCATGGTGGCACATTTTCCAGCTGGCCTTGCCTTGCTCTAAGCTGAGGTTTATAAATAGCCAATACCGTCTAGTTTTCCAAATGAGAGATTTGCTTATAGCACATGTTCTGGAACCCCTCGTGCTCGAGGGAGGGCTCACTGCTGGCAGGGGCTGCTCAGATCCACAGCTTTCCACCAAGATACTGATCTGAGGCATCAGGAGAGAGAAATATGCCATCAGAAAATGAGCAGGAGGAGGCAGAACATCATGGATATGGCAGGGGTCACCTCCACCCATTCGTTGTGGCCGTGCCATCCTCCAGCGAGCAGCACAGCCCTGTACAGTCAGCTCCGGCCCCTCTCTTAGGTGAAGTCAGGATCTATTCCTGGGTAGGGATGCCATGGAAAATGTCTCTCTGGAGCTGGTATCTGCCAGGGATAGTGTCTCTCTCAAGCCAGTATCTAGCACAGGATAAGTTTCCTGCTGCTTCTGATACACATCAGCCTCTCAAGGCTTTCACAACACCCCTGGTGCAGGGAGCAGTCAAACCCACCACTGGACCCGCCAAGCAGAAGATATCCCAAGGAATTCAATAAAATATCAGGGCCTGGATCAGATACATCAATAGAAGCAGAATAATTCCCAGATCCAGAGAGAGAAGCACAAACAAAGAGAACCTAGACGTCAGAGAGACAAAAGCTGGCTGGGAGATCAATGTAGAAAAGCTCTGTGCGAGGTCTGGGGTTTAATGAGAGATGAGTAGGATGGGACTTGGCATAGATAGAAGCTATTAGGAACAGCAGAGAAGAACAGGAGATGCAGATAGAGAGAGAGAGAGAGAGAACAGGTGGAAGAGGAGGCTGGGAGGAAAGCAGGTAGAGGAGGGTAAATTTTGGTTTGTATGCACCAGTGAACCAGCTACAGCCCTGCAAGATGTGGACAAACATGGGAAAAGTGGATGGTTCCAGAGGATCCCTGCAGAAAGCAAAGCTGCTCTGCTGCTCTAAGGGGACAAAAGTAGTGTTGACCCTGAGGACTGGCATCCCTGCTGCTCCAAGGCTGTGTCCTGGCTCAAGTGTTGGAGGCAGCATCTCTGACTTGGGTTTTGTTTTTTTTTGTTTTGGTTGTTTTTTTAAAGCAGAACCCAGAGGGGGTCAGTAGTGGCTGCTCTAACTTCTGCCCAAAGCTCCCTGGGCACTCCGAGCACCCCAACATTAAGTAAGAATGACCCTGAAACTGAACTGAATGTGCACTGAGTGCCACCTCTGTGACAGCAGGTTGGACTCAGCAGGGCAGAGGTGTTGGTGAAGCTCTGCTGCTCTGCATCCACCATGGTCAGGGTGTCCCAGGCTGGCACCACACCCATCCAGGACTATCCTTCTGCCCACCCAACAGCAGCAGAGCAGGTGGGCAAAAGGATGAGGGTTTGTTCAAACCGATCTCAGCTCCCATCTTGGCTTGGAAAGACATGCCTGGAATTTTGGTCAGTGCTGACTGACTCTTTGAATAAATCATCAGCCATTCTGGAGGGCTGTGCCTGCATATTAGGACAATTATTGCTTTCTTCCAGCCTCAGCTGTGTAAAAATGCATTCCTTCTCTTTATGAGAAACTCTCATCTCCTTCTGTCAGTCATCTTGTCTCAATGGGGAAAAAAATCCCCAAGCCCTGTCATATCAGAAAATGAGAAAATTATCAATATCTAAAGTGTATGTGAAAAATATGAGCTCTTTCTCCATTTGGGAGAATGAATCTTGGTTGTAGTTGTCTTATAAATGTTAGCAGCTTCTCAGACATTCAAAAATGTTAATGATCCTAAGGTATTAAAATAGCTTGCCATGGAGTTTTCTCCATATTAAAAATACTGTCTCGCCCTCTGCAGCCATCTAGAAGACTATCACAGATGAATGGTCCTATATATCAATTTATGCATTCAGAAAGCAGAGGCAGGATTAGTATATTCATGCAAACACAACAGGCTCTGATGATTGCCTGCATATCTGGAGTTAGGATCCAGCTCTGGTGCCTGAGATCAGCTTAATAAATACTATCAGCTTCCGCTGAGCGTAGGAATAGAAAAAAATCTGTCAATAGCTGTAGCTCTGAATAGGAATCTTTGAGTAAAGTAAATCTCTCTACTTCAGATTTCCGCTGGCCTCGTTACGCTGCCCTGGGGGAGAGGAGGGACCGGGGAGGTGACAGCCCCAAACCCCACATTAGGGACATGAGGGGGTCCCATCGACCTTGGGAATGACCCCTCCTCCCCATCCCATGGCTGTCTGAGCCAATCTGGGGGGCCTCCTCCCCCTGAGAGCAGCAGCTGACTCTAGGGGAAGGTGGGTGTTTGGGTAAGTGGGCTCAGCCTCCCATCCTCCTCTCCCAGAGCCATGCACAGATCCCTGTGCTGGCCAGGGGTTTGCGCTGTTGCTGCCTTCAGAAGAGTTGATTTTGGAGTCAGCTCCCTGTGTGGAACCCGGGAGCAGGTCCTTCCCTCCCTCAGGCTGTCTCAGACTCCAGCAGAGCTCACAGCTCTGTCCCAGTGCTTTGGGCTGGGACTCAAAAACACGCACCTCCAGATGCTTCAGCACAGCCTGAAGCAGCCGAGGCTGCCACAAGACTGGAGGTCTGAATCACATCCCCAGGCATGCAGAAGAATGGTTTAATTCAGAACTAAACCTTACTAAGTCTACCTGGAACCACAGGTTTTGAGTCTTGGCTCCAGGGAAGTTGGCTGGGGGCACGAGTAGAAGGACGTGGCAGAACCTGCTGCTTCTACAGCACTCCTGTGGTAGGACTCACAGTTAAGATCTGAATCTGTTCTGCTATTTTCCTTTTCAAATATCTGTCCCTCTTGCTTTTATGAGTCATCAATTGTTTTATTTCCCTATCAGATTAGCTTGTTCCTCTCACTGTAGCTTTGGGCTTCTGCAGCTGAATGGGACCCAGGAGACCTGAGCATCGGGGCTGAAGACACAGTAGAACACAAAAAGGGCAGCTGGTGCTCAGCAGACACCACAAACCACTCAGAAAGCCTTTTGTTTATTAGCTATTGTTTGGTTATATATAGTACCTGCAGCTTGAACAATAGGCAGTGGCAGGGTATGTGCTTTGTGCTATCCCAGAGCCCGAGGTGAGGCTTCAATGCGGGAGGCCAGAGGCAAAAAGCAGCAAATTTGCCTAGAAAGCCCTGGTAATGCCTTTCCAGCTGGCCCATTAGCTGAGCTCTAAACGATGTTTATTGCATTTCTGTGAGCCCACAGTGGGGAAGTTTATTTAAACAATTTGGTGCAGGGAAAGGTGGATGTTGGCAGGGCTTTGGGCTCGGAGCTGCGGGTAGATGGAGCTGTGGGAGAGCTGCTCCAGGAGAGAGGCCCAGGGTACCCACATGGGCTCCTCTTCCTCCCACACCACTGGGCCCTGAGGAGAGGCTTCCAAACCTTCTTTGTGTCAGGCAGGTTGTTTCTGGGATGCTCAAGCTGGATGCAGATGTCCCACTGCCCAGCTCACAGGTGGATCCCCCAGCCTGCTGGGACCCCAGTCCCGTCCCAGCTGAGCACTGAATTGTGCCCTCTCTGCCCTTCAGAGAGCAGAGGACAAGAAACAGGGTGTTTTCAGATACTTTATCAACAGCTTTCTCAAAACTTGTGGTAGGACTCCAAAGGGAGTTAGTCTTTGCATGCATCAGGCTTTTTGGGCGTACCAAGTGAATGAAATGTGATTTTTTTTTTTTCTCCTCATCAATTTCTTCTGTTCTGAGGCTGAATTGAGTTTTCTGATCTAATTATCCCTCCCTTCCCAAAGAAATAGAATGGCTTTGAAAAACTACCTGTACTTCTATACACCCAACATCTGGTTTTGGTAAAAATATTGAAACTTTTTAAAGGCTACTTCCAGTCTTGAAGAAGGGAGGATGATATTTAGTAGACGATCTTTGCCCCTATTTTTCAAGAAAAAATACCCAACCATTAATTCTACTGCAGGCAATTGAGAAAGCAGTTGGACTGAACTTTTAAGTGAACAAACACTTACGGATCTATTTATACCTGCCCGGGAGCAGACTACCAGAGGTGGAAATGCTGTAATTATTTCCTTTCCCTGGTTTCCACTGTCCTGTAAGGATCTCCTGGAGCAACCTGTTAACAAGTTACTGCTCCACATGGTGAAATTAGAATCAAGACTTTATTAACAACCAAACCAATCTGACTAAAAATGACTAAAACTGGCTGTGGCAAAGGTGAGACGAGCTGCTATGAGACAGCTTCTGCTGCTTAGCCCCATCTATCTAAGAAGGCTGAGAATTACAAATGACAAACATGGCTGGCAGTGGAGGGGGGACAGGGACCTGAGCAGCAGTGATGGGGAGATGCAACATCATTTTTCCTGTGTTCCTTTTTCCACCAGTGCATGTTTTCAAGTTAATTCCTCTCCCTAAAGAATCCCTCTCCTTTGTTATCTTCCCACTCTTCTCCCTCCCCCTTCTCCCTGGGTTTCTTTCTCCGAGCAGATGATCTCCTCCGCTCGCCATCCAGGTTAACTCTGGTTTCAGTATCAAAGATCATTTAAGCTGAAAATAGCTTTTACTGAGTCCCTGTTACAACCCAGGAGTGTCTGGTCACCAGATAGAATCTCCAGCTGCCTCTCAGGCAGGGTGTTGGGGTTATCTGCGTGCCAGGACTCTCAGTTCTATGGCCACAGGCCATTACACTTCACCGCAATTCAGGAGGGTCGTGGACTCAATTACAGCTGATTATGGACCAGAGGGGAGGAGCTGAAGAAACAGGGATAAAAAAAATTATTAATATTTGTCCAGGCAGCCTGTTCTTTAAAGATATATTTAGTTTTCACAGAATAGATAAGGATTTTCTTTTTAAGTTGACATTAAATTTTCATCGCTTTATGGTTATTAGGAAATGGCCAGTGGTAATATTTGCTGTTGCCTTCTGGGGTACGGAGTCCAAATGACTCAGTTATGAAAAATAAGCCCTGTACTGTTTAGAAGTATGAAATGTTGCTCTTGAGCTCCAGGCACGAAGTAATGATGCTTCAGGAGCAAGAGGATGGATGTGCTATAAATCCCAGTGCTGCGAATTTCTGCCTCCCTTGCAGCACAAGGGAACAGCACCTCTGAGCTGTGTGTCTGCAGCAGCCCGAATGGAGTCAGGTCTGCTCAGCATCTTAGTGACCCCCTAAATGTCTAAGGGCATCTTTATTTTGGAAAGACTATCGTTTTAAAAAGCATCTTTACTTTGTGCAACCAGCTCTGGGTGAACCAGGGGGTTGGACTGGATGATCCTGAGAGGTCCCTTCCAACCCCAAGCATACTGTGACTTTGTGACGAGTCTTGCTAGGAGAGGTTTAGGTTGGATATTAGGAAAAAATTCTTCACCCAGAGGGCTGTCAAGCATTGGAACAGGCTGCCCAGGGCAGTGGTGGAGTCACAGTCTCTGGAGGTATCTAAAAGACACATAGATGTGGCACTTGGGGACATGGTTTAGTGGTGGGCTTGGCAGTGCTGGGTTAATGATTGGACTCAACGATCTTAGAGGTCTTTTCCAACCTGAACGATCCTGGGATAAGATTGCACGTGCATGGCACAGTGATGGCAGGAGGGAACAGTGAACTGGCTGTGGGGAGGGCTGCAATGAGTCCCTAGGGAGAGACTCTTAGTAGGGATCTCAAAATCCTCACCGCATTTTAAAAGTAAATAGACTGCCTTGATAGCAGGAGATGCAAACCAGGTACCAAATCGGTGCCATTTTACAGCAATATCCTTTGGAGGATTTGCCAGATGGCTGGCAGCAAGGCTTTTAAACTGACTTTTTTTCTGAGCCAGCCATATTATCATCCATCAGACAGTCACTTTGGACTGACATTGCAGAGCGTGGCTGTCTCCTTTACATTTGCCTTGCTCCTGTTTATTTCTAGCTGATTTATTTATATCTGGAACTGATACAAGTGGCACGATTTCTTTGTTTCATTAAAAGATTCCTTGATCTAAGCTTTAAAAGATTTGTCTTCAGAGAGATCAAAGTCAACCAAGTATATGTCTGGCACCCCTGAGTTTTTCTGATATCCCAGTCCTCAGGTAAATCTGGAAAAGATGTTTTGTTGCAGAGTAGTAAACTGTGGTGACTAGATTAGTGTAGAGCTGGCCATGAATTCTTGGGTACTAATACATACCTATCACCCAGGCTTCTTAATTATTATTTTCTAAGAGGTGAAACAGTGTTGACAGAGCTTGCACTGTAAAATACAAGTCAAGATAAAACTGAGTGCCAACTGCAAGCATGGAAAATTACATCCCACTGCCCAGCAACTCACAGTCAAGCAAGTAAAATACGATTTGCACAGCTGAGCAGAGGCATTGTCAGGGTGCTACCCTAGGAGCCAAGCACTCCTAAACCCCATCTGTCACGACCTGTTGCTTGCTCCTGGGAAAGCTGTGTACAGCCAGCTCCCTAAAAGAGGCCATAAATTCTGGGTACCTTATTTATTAATTTTGGGGTGTGAATCTCCATGTCCCCTAAATTCTAGACCAGTGGTGCCACGCTGTGAGCAGAACAGAGCCTCCTCATTCCTTGCTGTTGCTGAAGGGACCATGGAAGCCGTTTCTTCCCAGCTTAGCTCAGTTACTCCAAAAATGCACAGGTCTCAGCCCACATTTCAAACCCTGTTACCTGCCAGCGCCGTGGGAAGGATGGGGTTTGCAGGCACTTTTTGAAGGACCAAAGCTGAATAGAATTGCTGAGTGTTATTGTGGATGGTTGAAGTACGTCCTGGATATGAATCATCTTGCTCTTTCTGACCCACTGTCCTAATTGAGAGTCATTTATTCCTCAGACGCTTGTGGCTGCCTGGGTCAAACCTTTTCACAGCGCAGCAGCAGCAGCCTGGAGCTGCAGGTGTTTGCCCCGCTGCCTCACTACGTGACAAACCAGAGATCCAGTAAACAGACATGCTGAATCATGGATCCTCCCCAAACGTGACCCCAAATCCCTGCCCCTTTGTTTGGCTGTTTTCTGTGGCAGGGTCAGGCCAGGACACGGCTTTCCCGTTGGCTATATGAATTTTACCACTGTGCATGTTCCAGTAAAATCAAAGGCCTTAGAAAAGGGATTCTGTGGAAGCTTTTTTTTTGTCAGGGCCTTTACAGTCATTAGTTATAGTTTGGAGCAAAAGCCTCAGGGCAGGACCAGCATCGTTGCTCCTGTTTGATTGTGCAGGCGTTAGTGGTTCTTCAGGAACCTCCATTGCTTTGTGGATCAGGAAGGACTGATGTTTCAGCCTAATTTTTCCAACACATTTAAGAAGTGTACTCTTCCCTGACCATCTTGTATCTTCTTCTATTTATTAAAGGGAGGACTGATTGCCTGCTTCGAGACGCCCGTGGTGACAGCCTGCCTGGCCTCATCCCTTTGAAGGATTTCTATCCAAGGGCTTATCTCCACTGCAGAATTAGCTCGAGCTTTCAGCTGAGGGTGCTCTGCCTCCCTGCTCAGCCCATGCCCTCCCAGCAGCCCAACAAGAAATGGCAGCTGAGTGAGACCCACCAGTTGCTGTAGATGAAAGGGTTAAATGTTGGAGTCACTGGCAACATCCCATACATCTCCCCCTGCTGCAAATCCCCCAGTGCCTCCCCCCAGGCTTTCCAGTGATGTTCTTCCTTGCCATGTAGGCATTTCCCTGATCCAGCTGAATTAGGGACATCAATAATTAATTGTCCCCGTTTGGATGTCACTTGGACAGGCTGCTGTCAAACATTTAGCAAGAACAATCTGGATAGGAATAGTGGGCTTGAACATCTGTTTTTTCCCCTTTGAAAACACACTTTGGCAATGTAAGTGAGAGAGAGCTGTCAAGTGCAGCCTGGGCTGGGAGTAACAACTCTAACCTGTCTGGGGAAGCCATTGATGCTTTTATGTATTTCACTGCTATCTTTAAAGGGTTCAGACAATCATTTTTTCCTCTCAGAATGTGTTGCTTTCTTCACCACTGGAGATTGCTATTTTTTTCACTATGTCTTTTAAATGTGCCTTTATTTTGCAAAGCTACAGCCTTTGTGCAGATCAACCAGAACAGATCAGATCCTTAATTCCAGCTGGATTCTGAGCCAGCTCTAGATCAGCTCGAAATTTTAGATTTGCTTCCCCACACCATATTTATGGTGGGGTTTTTTTACAATCAGCTTTATTCTTAGGGTTTCATCTCTGGAAATGCTTTTCAACTGAGTTTCTCTTTATTTTGTGGAAGGAAGTAGTTGGAGAAAATGTGATCGAACTCAGAAGAAAACTTCCAGGTACTGATGCCTAATCTCCTGGTGTGAAGGAATAATTGCATTATTATCTCTCTGGAGTTGGAGAGAAATGAGACTTATCCTCTTCGGGGCAAGGAATTTACCAAACAACAAAAGTTAAAATTCCTGGTAAGGAACAGAGTTGGGCTGTGCAGTCATAAGTGCTTCTGGAGAATCTAAGCCCAAGGTGTGTGCTGAAGTTACTGTTAATTTTTGGATTATTACCTGGTATGACGGTAAGAAACAAATTTCAGCCTCTTGCATACTTGATTTTCAGCAGCTGCTCATGCAATAGTTCAGTCAGCCACAAAGGAGATGCTCATTGCTATCTGGAAACTAAACCAGGTTCTGTCACCTTTATGACTGGTTTCACTCCCAGATCCTCCAGCTCAGGGCTGACATCTTCTGCCAATCCTTCTAGGTGGGATTGCTGATTAATAATCACTGTTCTCCCAATTATTTAGGTCATGGCCCTTCTTCTGCTCCTTTTTTTCACTACCTGAGTGAGGGTTGAAACAGAGATCACCCAAGGCATGAATGCTAGTTTGACTTAATGCCCCAGTCAGCTAAATCTGAGCTCTCTGCCCTGTATCTATGGCTCAGTTCACCTCAGGTCTCTGGCATTGCTTCCTACAATTGCCCTTCTTCCACTTACATTTCAAAGCCCTGAAAATTGTTCTGAGTTTTAAGGATAGTTACACAGTTACACCTCCAAATGGAGATTTGTGATATGAGGCCATTTTTAAGAGGAAAAAAAAATTAAAACACTTGGGACCATGTTTTCTTGCTCATGTTTGCAGGTGCTTTTATTAAAAGTCTGCTCTGAGCAGAGTCGTGTGTGTATGCAGCCTCGGATTAGACTGTGAGAATTTATGGAAAAGCTTTTCGTGAGAAAACATTCGCAGCTATGTAGCCTTAGAAACTGGAGAGTTGGAGCTGGAGCTCGAAGAGTGGCTATGAATATGGAGAGCCAGGAGTTGGAATAATCACAAGGGAGGCAACTGCACCAGCCAGGAAGAAAGATGAGAGTTTCAGCAGAAAACTGATCAAGATAACGAAGCAGCGAGAAGATGCCTTGTGACAGCAGCTGGATTTGTAGCATCTAGCCTCAAATAGGAGCATGAAACACAAGTTTGCTTGGAGGGGAGAAAAATCCATCAGAAGATTTCACATAGGATTGTGAGGCTATGGAAAGCTCCAAGACGCCCTGGAACGCTGCACCATTTACCCTAATCTGGGGGTGAGTCAGCACTCAATTATGTTCAGGCAATTTTATATTCAGTTTTTAATGCGTTGGCGACAAAGCAATTTAGATAATATGGTCACATAGCAGAATCACCTTCTATACAAATCCGAGTTACATTAGCTACAATAAAAAGTATGTCACTGCGAGTGCTCATTTTCCAGCGTGTAAGATTATCATCCTGTGGCAACAAGGAGAAATCTCTTCTTCCCATTGCCAAACTCAATGCAGTTGTGCAACATGGCTGTTCTATCCCTTCTTCTGAAGTCCTCAGTTATGGCTACCCTTGAGACCAGACAGACCCACTGCTGTGTGCAGACACCATCCGAGGCCTTTGCATTAATAATAGCACATGAGATAATGGTTCCTACTGGGCTGTGTGTTCAAGAGAAAACACTCTGGTATAATGAAGTGGGTCATGCATTTGTAGGTACGTGAGGGTCGCTCAGTCTGTCCATCACAGGGTAAGGAGCTGTGACCTGTGAAACAGAAGAATCTGTGTGAAATTGTGTTATTGGCAAGTCCCATGAGTATTGTCCTGGGGGGTAGTGGGTTCAAGGTGTGGCTTCAGTTTTACCATTTTGCCATCAGTTCAGGGAAGATGTTATGCTAATCTGACCTTTTGCTTAATCTTTTAAGGCACTTATTGTATTATTTTTGGCAATTATACCTTTAGGAATCAGAAGTTGGAGAGGAAATGAGTGATTTACTATTTATGCTGAATGATCTTTTCAATGCCAGTGACAGATCGAGTCTTCCATGAACTACTCCTTACATGAACAGGATACATGGACTGTGTTGAAAACAGGATGCACAAACCGTGTAAAATCCACTTTGTATGTCTTGGGAGTAAACACACAGCTTGAATCCTCATTCCTCTCCATTATTCCCATCTCCATGACTCGATGAACTTGAGTAAGGGCCAGATCTGGAGCGCAGTAAGCTCGAAAAGAAATTTCCATTGGCTTCCCCTGCCCCCTAACCTCCCCCCCCCCACCTCCATGGATAATATCCTTAAATATTCAGGGTCAAACCTTCAGCTGTCATAAGCTGGCATCCTTCCACTCAACTAGTTCTTCGTGTCTGCACAAGTGCAGAGTCACCAAGTTTTTGTTCATCTGAAAAGAAACACCCTTGGCTTTTTATTAAAATGAATCATAGAATCATTAACAGAATGTAAAAGGGTTGGAAGGGACCTTAAAGATCACCTAGTCCCCACCCCCTGCCATGGGCAGGGACACCTTCCACTAGACCAAGTTGCTCAAGGCCTGAACCAACCTGGCCTTGACCACTGCCAGGGTTGGGGCATCCACAACCTCCCTGAGCAACCTGTGCCACTGTCTCAACACCCTCACAGTGAAGAATTTCTTCCCAATACCCAGCCTAAATTTGCCCTCCTTCAATTTGTACCCACTACTCCTTGTCCTGCCACTACAGTTCCTGACGTAGAGTCCCTCTCCAGCTTCCCTGCAGGCCCCCTTCAGATCCTGGAAGACAGTTTCCAGTGATGATCTTCTCATGAGAAGGATTTTCAGACTGTATTTATGAAGACATTGACATTTGAACTCATTTTATTTTGAAGGCACCATCACTCACACTGTCACAGTGTGACAGCACAGCAGGTTAATTCAGCCTTTCTCAAATCAGTGCTCTCAGACCTATATCAACACCTGGCTTTCCTAAAGGTGATATTCTGCATGTAATTAAACCCTCCAAGTCCTGAGCAAGTACTGGGCTCGGCATAAAACACAAATTCTAATAAGAATAACATTACAGAAAGGCTTAAGAAACCCAGTCAGAAGCCACAGGCTGAAACCTGAAAGCTTAAAATACGGATGGCTTTTTACTGAGATGTACTGCTCTTGGGTGCTTTAAATTCTTAGTCAAGAACAATGTGAGATCTTGCAGGGATGTTAAAATTATATTTTGTTCTGTGTTTTATTGCAGAAATTGAGGCATGTTCCCTAGCTGACGATAATCAGGATGTCAAAAAATTAGCAGAACTTCTGCATTTATCGGGAAGTTTTGGTTAACAGTCACTCCTCCTCTGCTCCTTCTTTCAGGTAAACAGACGGAATGGAACTTATTTTTTTATAATCGGTTTCCTCCCGTTTATCTCTTTTTTCACATTCAGTATCTCTCTTGAACAAGACTGAACAGTTTTCCTGGAATTCCTTCCTCAGGAAAAAAAAAGAAGATTTACTTGTCTTCCTGGAAAATGCTAAGTACACAAAATTCTTAAGTAAATTCTTTATGAGACTTCTTCAAGCTACCTTCATTTGTCAGAAACTGAAAGGGCAAAAGACCAGCCCTTCATCTTCAGTGTTTATTTTTGATTCCCATAAAAGTCCTTACAGTTTAAAAAGCAGCTTTCTGTCTCTTTAAAACTGTTTATGAATCATTGTTTGGAAGGAGCGTAGTAAAGCACTTGAATCCGATTAACTCAGAAGTTGCATGGCTATCAGCTAGGACAGTCCTCACCTCATAATTTTATCTATTAACAGATACTGCAGAACTAACTGACATTAAACTGGCAGAATCCCAGTGTAAAGGTGAACTCGAGGAAAAAATTATATTGGATTTTAATAAAACTTTTCTCAAAGGTCAACCTCTCTAAGGTATGAAATCAATCTTCCTTCCTCCTCCTTCAGCCCATTTATTCACAGCTATAGAAAATTCTGATACTCATAAAATGTTTCCCATTCCCTCCCCCTCTTATTACAGTATCTATCTACCTGTGGCCATTATTTTTCACAGTAATTTTAGATCCCTTCCTCCTCATTTCACTCTTTTTACCTGGCCTTCTTGGAATCTGCACCCCATTCTCAAAATGTCACTTACCAGGCTCCCTTTCAAGAACAGATCCTGCCTCATACCATTTTCAGTACAAAAAAAAACCCAACCCACCCCATTTTTACTTCATACTTGGCAGGGAAACTTTGGGAAGAGCAAGGATTTGGTGCAAAATCTTTATTCCTATTTTTATTTTTCCTCCTTCCCCAGCAGCTGCCTTCTGTGTCTTGCTCAGGACTCCAGCAACTTTTGCCAGGTAAGCTATAACATTAGTAGCAATCCACTTAGGAGAGAGTGATGTCCTTGTGAGCTCTAAGCTCCTTAGATCAGTCTAGGAGGATCAGTCCCTTTGAGTGATGTTGCCCCAGCAAAATAACATGAATATATTATAGATGTATTTTCAGGGTTTTGTGGGTTTTTTTAGAAGACTCACTAATATCTAAGAAAGTACTAGCTTAGGAGGGTTTTTTTCAGCTGCACAAAGCTGTAGATACTCAGATCTGGAAACTGCTTTTCAATCCATGGCATACAAGCTCCAGCTCTTGATGGCCAAGTTTCTAAAATCTTGGCATCACTGGAGCCACTAACATCACACACTATAACAGCAGAGTAATTTCTGTTGCTGGTGTTTGGATTTGCCTGCCCAGCTGATCTGTGGGGCAGGCCAGACCCAGAGCATCCCATGGGAATTGGTACCAGGGCTTTCAGGGCTCCCGGGATCGGACGAACAACGCAGGGCTGTTCTCACGGTCACAGCCCATCACTACTGTACCCTTTGTCTACCCTTCTCGCCCTTTTACTGTAATCCTTCCCTCCCTGCACTTCAAGGGCTATTCCTCCCTCTCTGCCAAGATTAACTGTCCCTCTGTCCAGACTGACAGACATTTACCCAACCACCAGGTCCTCCTTCCTCCGTCCCTTCCCTGCACATCTCCCAGGACACTAATCCTATTCCTCAGCCCCCTGAGCTACAGAGGCACAAGCCTGGGCACAGAGTCTCTGACTGTGGCTGTTTGCCCCGGGGGTAGGAATCTGCACACCGGAGTTATCCCACACATCCTGCCTTGTGCACTCACTTGGTGGCTCAAGCTGTGGCAGCAGCTGCTCTCCCTCGGAGGGAACTGTGTGCCCTTTCACAGGATCAGAGACGAGTTGGGGCTCCCCTAGAAAACGACCTGGCTGTTCTGGCTGAATTCTGTTCTTGGTTATTCTTTACTCCATCAAAACAACGTTACTCGCAAGGTAATTTCGTGGCTTCCCATCTCAAAAAACCTTTGTGGTCAGAGAGCTCCTGGTGCCGGGCAACACCTGATAGGTCCAGACAACCCCTATAATCTGTATTTAAGGAAAAACCACTGCTTAAGCTGCTAAAGTGAAATGTAAGAGAACCTACACTACATTTCAAACTCACTGCTAAGATATGTGCTGGAGAGCAGCCAGGCCTGGTTGCTCACACTGATAGATGGTGGGGAAAAGGAACACGCGTTAAAATCAGCGAATGGATAAAACTGGGCTGGAGAGGGATGAATACAATGGGAAAAGCTTTCCATTTTTCAGAATCAAAGCCCAGGCTCCCACGCTAAAGGGAGAATTGTGTTCCCAAATAGGAAAACGTTAAAAAAGAGACTGTACTATTTTCGGGAATGTATGATACAAAGCTTCATGTCCACCGTCAGGATAAATCTTATATATTCTGTACAGCAACATTCATTTAGCAGAGAAGAGGATTCTATGAAAAGGACAAAGATGGGTGGTGGAAATTCTGAGCCTTTCTTCCTACTGCTCTTAAATTCTTGTCCTCGTTGACATAATTAGCAAAAACGTTCTGAGATATTTTTAATTCCTTTTAACAACTTTTATGATTCACAAACTGTATTTTGGTTTCAGATGCTGTGTTGATCAATAAACAATGCTGATTTAGATTTTTAAAGAGCACTAGCAATTATTTGAGGAACCAAATTTAGATTTCTTTAGTAGAAAAGAAGATCCTTTTGTCAAGACTATGTAGTCTCTGCAAAGTCTTGTGTAAGTAGTTTTACAATGCAGAGATTTTGGCTCTGGAGATTATTCCGCAGGGACCCCGACCACGGAAATTGTAGTTCAGTTGCTGTCTGCTGGCCAGCATTGCAGGATCTGGCTATGAACAGGGCATGAGATCAAACCCTTCTCATTTAATATAGATTAAGAAAGTCTTCTTACTCCTAATCTCACTCCTGCCTCCTGCCCTGCTCTGAAATACTTGTGCTGATTTGCTCTGCTGGGGAGAAAACTTGTCAAGGTCTGTCAGGAAAGATGAGAATATATATTTTTCTTTTCTTTTAAGATTAATCTTGCAGTTGAATAGAATTGGCAACACGAGTAAAATTTTGCTGCTGGAGTTATTTTGTATTGATTGCATTTTTAAAGATTTTTCTAGCAGGGAGAGGCAGACATTTTGTTATTGCTGTGTATTAATCAAAAAGACTGAAAAATACTGCAGGCCCTACTCTGACCCTTGTGGATCAAAAAGGCAGTCGAGGTTTTAAGAATACAAATTATCCCGGATTAAACTCTGGGTTTAGGTGTTAATAATTTAACACTACTACAGTTTGGCCACCTACTTGTGATGTGCTATATGTGGATCACTGCAGTTTAAAAGCATTTTTTTTTTTCAAACAAGGATAAACTGAAACTATGAGTGGGCCACTAGAAGCAGGCTTGATTCTTGCAGACCTGAAGAGGTTATTCTTATGGTAATTACCTGTCTAACATTTAGAATTATAGAATGGCTTGGGGTGGAAGGGACCCTAAAGATGATCTAGTTCCATTTAATATCGGATTTCTTCGATAGCGTGGACTGCACGAGAAGCTTCCTTTCCTTAAGCCACAGAAAAGCCACTGTTTTTACAGCTTTAAAGGATCCCACGGCTGCCTTGATTACCAGTGCCTTGGCTCTGTACGTTTAATTCAGCTCCTAATGCTTCTCATGTAGTGCTAAAGCCATTTAAAAGAAAGTCTCTTGCTTTTACAACCCCGCTTTTTTTAGCAGCTCAGCAGCAGTTACCGGGTTTGTAAAGCTCCTTACGGAATCTCACCTGAAAACACTGATCTGCGGCGCTGTGCAGTTTTTCCCACTTCAAAGGGAAATCTGCTGCTGCCACCCCAGAACTGAGCACAGCGAGACACCCAACTGTCACTGGGGGCTGATGTCACCTCCCAAGGTGTGTTTGTTGTACCAGGGAGACTTCTGAGCGCTAATGTCAGAAAAAAACAAAACAAAACAACCACCTCTGTTTGTCTTTTTCGCCTTCTCTGTTTAGGGAGTTGTTTCACGTTGTTTCTTTTTGTTCTAAACAAGTACCCGGGGCTCTCACTCAGATTCCCAGGGATGCTGCAGCAGTTCCCAGTAGTCTCCCAGTTGTTAATGCTTGTAATTCTATAATGTTCATACTTTATTTTCCATTCAGGGTGCACAGTGACGACAGGTGACCCAGTTTTCACTGAAGGCATGTGCAACCCCTTATGGTTAAAAATGGGTGAGAAATGGGGAGGGGAATCGTAAATATTTTTAGCCTTAATCTAAGATTTTCAAGCTGTTTGCAGTACTGCAATCCCAGTAGCATCGACGTTGATATGTCTGAATAAAAACTATGTGTTTTACAATGAATTGAGCCTTCTAGCATAAATTTTGAGCTGTGGAAAATCCTAAATGTTATCCTTTTCTTTCCCTTGGTATTTCAGTTTTTGGGCTCCTGCCTCCCAGTCTCAGCTATATTCTCAGCTCCAAAGGGTTAAAAGTTCTGGCATTTCTTCCGACTGGCATTTCCAAATCTCTCCCGGGGCCCATGCAGCGTTTATGCCAAAATGGTTTATTATTATACAAACAGAGCAAGAGGCGGAGAGAAAAAAAAAAACCAAAAAAAAAAAAGCCCCAAAAACCTCCCTTCACAGTTTGTCCTCCAGAATCGGGTCCTGCTGGTGGCGTGAGAGAAACCGCCCCAGCCGCAACCCTGAACGCCCCGGGGGGTGTTTAAAGAGGAACCCCGAGGATGTTTTAAGTAACACAGGGGCGGGTTCGCACCCCAACTCTCTGTGGGGACCCCCGGCCTCCCTCCCCGGGCTCTGAGGGGCGGCCACGCCCCCCCTTGGCCCCCTCACACCCATGTCTGACTCCGCCCCCTCGACCCCACTGCCCAATCAGCGGCGGCTCCTCGGGCAGGCAGCCAATCGGCGGGCGTTGCTACCTGTGGGGAGTATTTTTAGCCGCCAGGAGGGGGGGGTGGTCTGTGAGGGGCCCCTCCCGAGGGGGCCCGCGCGGGTCACCCCGGAGCGTGGGGGCGGCTTGCGCTGCCTCCGCCGTGCGGGCACAGCTCGCTATCGCCGTCGCCCAGGCCCCCGCGGGCCGCGGCGGTCATGGGAGATGTAGTTCAGCGCTCCCCCATCCCTCCCCTTCCCATCCCATCGCTTCCCCGCGGGGCCGAGGGGCGCCAGGGCAGGGTTTGACGTGGGTAGTGACGCAACGGGGCCGCGAGGCGAGGAGCGCGCTGACGTCAGAGCGGCCCCGCGCGCGCCGCGCCGGGGAAAGGGGCGGCAGCGCAGGGCCCCGCGCGGGGGGCGGGGCCGGGGGCGGGCCATGGCGGGGGTGGGCGTGGCCGGAGCGGAGGCGAGTCAGTGGAGGGTGGGGGGTTGTGGGCGTGGCCGAGTTGGGCGCGGCGGTGGGCGGGGCAAGGAAGGGTATAAGTAGGGGCGCGGCGGGCGGCGGGGCAGAAGCAGAGGGAGCGCAGCTGCGGCGGCCGAGCGCGCCCGTCGTGGGGGTGTGAGCAGCGCTGCCCTCCCCCCCTTCCCTCCCCCCCCTTTTTTTTTCCGACCCTTCCCCCTCCCTTCTTTCTTTTTTTTTTTTTTTTGTTGTTTTTGGACATCTCTTTCCTCTCCCCTCCCATCCTCGCGCCGAGGGAGAGCCGGCGCTCGGAGATGGGGGTCGGGTGCTGAGCCGCACCTCCCCGCCGCCACACACACACACACGCCCTCACACCCCCGCCGGGACTGTTTGCACTACCGCCCGCACACCCCCGGGTGAGTACCGGCCGTGAGGCGCGGGGGGTGTGCGGGCAGCCTGGGGCGGCGGGGCTGGGGCAGCACCGGCCGCTGAGGGGGGGCCGCCGGGGCGGTCACGACCCCGCCGTGACGGGGCGGCCGTGAGGGACCCGGCGGGTGTGGGGGCTCCTCGTGGAGGGGGCTGGGGCTGAGGGCACGGCCGGGCTGCGAGGGGTCGCTCCCGTCTCGGGTAAAAGGGAGGGAGCGGTGCCGGCTGAGTAATCGCCGCTTGGGCCGCTCCGGGAGCGCCGGCAGCGCCCTGCGGGACCTGGCGCTGCCACAGGGGCCCCGCAGCCCCCACCCCTGCGCCGGCATCCCCCCGGCCTCTGCTCCATCCTCTTTATTACGGGCTCGGAAAATGCTCCTCTTCCTCCTCCTCCTCCTCCTCCTCCTCCTCCTGCCGCCGGAGCTCCGGGGCTGTGAGCAGAAATCTAATGAGACCCGACTGCCTGGTTATGTAACTCCCGCTGCTTAAGGCTCCTGCCAGGGCGCTGCTGCCGGGCCGCCGGCGGGGCTCGGACCCCCCCCGAAACGCCGTCCGCTCCCCATAAATACATTAAAAAAAAAAAAAAAAAAAGGTTAGAAACGATTAGGCTGATTTGTTTGATCAGCTGCTTTTTGCGCCGGCGGATCGGTTTTCGCTTAGGAAAAAAAAAAAAAAAATTCACAGCGTCAGCCCCGGTGCGCCTTGAAAGGATCGTTTCTTTCTTAAAGGACGTGGGGGGAAGGGAAACAAAACAGATGGATTAATAAATCATTTTTAAATGCCCCTTTTAACCGCCCAATCAGCTTTTCTGTACTGATTGTGTCCCTTTTGTAAATATCTTCTGTTTGCCCTTGATCTTTTCCTTATCCCCACCCGGTGCTGATCCAGCAAACGTTTAAAGGTCGCCTTATCGTGCAGGCTTTCAAACTATTCCCATACCATGTTGGGGAGAACACGAGTGGCTTGGAAATAGGGTTCCAGACTTTAAAAGGAGATTATTCGGAGCAGGAAATAAAAAAGCAGTATAGCCTCATTGTTAAAGGATTTTGATATCGACTTTGATTTCTCTAATCTTTAATGACAGCTACGCTAAATTTTGTTCCTGGTGATGCACTGCAGAAAAATCCACTGTTAATTGAAATTCTGTTTGGGGCTTTTAACTTGAGGAAAAAAAAAACCCCAACATATTTTGTTTCATTGAAACTTTTTCACAAAGGTGTGTGCTTTAGATGAGTACTTTTATACCAAGGTACTGCAGGATTTGTGTTAGCAGTATGTGTGTTAATACCTGATTCTTGTCCCTTCTCTAACTTTAGACAGCTAATTTCTCTTTTGTCCTCTGTGAAGGAGTGGCAACCATATCTTACATTAAATATAAAATGGAGTCATGGAGAAGGAGAAAGGCAATCGTGTTTGAGGCTGCCAAAAGCCCTGCTAGCTCTGCAACTTTTTGAAATCTGAACTATAGGCAGTGCAATATAATAATTGAGTATAGATCGTACCTCACATCTTAAAATACAGAATAATTTTTATTTACAAATTGTGAATTAATTTATCGTAATAATTCCGTGGTCATGGCCACCCTTATGACAGACCATACGTGCATCTGTTCTGTATGTGCTGACTGCATTTCAGTTTGAGCAGTTGGAGGAAGAACTGTTGGATGTGCACAGCGGACATTTTCTCCTCAGTTTGCATCATTTCACCCGTGCACAGTTTATGTGGAAGATTTGCTTGGACTTAAAATAAATGTCGCATAATTTTAGTTATTTGTGTGAAATCTTCTAAAGCAGTTGTTAGCATTTTTATAATTCTGCAGCCTACAGTGCAGTCAATATGTTTGCAAACTTTAAACTGATAAATGACCCTTGGACTAAGACCTCTCAGGCTAAACTAATAGTCTGGTGCTAAATTTTGCAGCTGAGTACTATAAATCATCCAAATAAGGGTCGGTAATTGAACCCTTGACAGGCTTGACAGTTCTGTGATGTCTTTTAAAAATTATCCTTGCTGCTTTGTGAATAACCAAACAACCAGCTCATGTGATTTGGAAGTGCCCCATGCTGTATTTGTAAACACAGGCCCATCTTCTGCAGTGTTGTTTGTCAGTCGGGCTGAATGGAGCTGACATCCTCACCTTCCGCAGGCAGGAACTGAAATAGTTTGATGCACATTTTTTGCCTTGAAAAGTAACCTATTTTATGCAGAAAGTGAAGCTGAAAGAGTAGGCCTCGGAGTTTTATCTTACTCTTTCCTTATTTGGATATGTTTGCTTTTGTTTTTTCTTAAAGGAACAAGAGCACTCAAGGTGAAGGATAATAATCAACTCGAATCAGCACTTTGAATGAAACTTTGTTTCCCTGTGGCGTCTTGAACACTTTCTTCTTCGGGTTTTGAAACAGACTTATAACTCTGTGGCATAGCAGCTATGCAGCTTGAAATCCAAGTAGCACTCAATTTTATTATTTCATATTTGTACAATAAGCTTCCCAGACGACGTGTCAACATTTTTGGTGAAGAGCTTGAAAGACTTCTTAAGAAGAAATATGAAGGGCACTGGTATCCAGAAAAGCCATACAAAGGATCAGGGTTTAGATGTATTCATATAGGGGAGAAAGTGGACCCAGTCATAGAACAAGCATCCAAAGAGAGTGGTTTGGACATTGATGATGTTCGTGGCAACTTGCCTCAGGATCTTAGTGTTTGGATTGACCCGTTTGAGGTTTCATACCAAATCGGTGAAAAGGGACCAGTGAAAGTGCTTTATGTGGATGATAATGAAAATGGATGTGAGTTGGATAAGGAAATCAAGAACAGCTTTAACCCAGAGGCCCAGGTGTTCATGCCAATTAGTGACCCAGCATCTTCAGTGTCTAGTTCTCCTTCTCCTCCCTTTGGTCACTCAGCTGCTGTGAGCCCAACTTTCATGCCCCGCTCCACTCAGCCTTTAACCTTCACCACTGCCACATTTGCTGCCACCAAGTTTGGCTCGACCAAAATGAAGAATAGCGGCCGTGGCAACAAGGTCGCCCGCACCTCTCCCACCAACCTTGGCTTGAATGTCAATGACCTGTTGAAGCAGAAAGCCCTCTCCTCCTCCATGCACTCTCTCTACGGGCTTGGCCTAGGCAGCCAGCAGCAGCAACAGCAACAGCAGAAGACTTCTGCCCTGTCTCCTAACGCAAAGGAGTTCATTTTCCCCAACATGCAGGGTCAAGGTAGTACCAGTAGCATCTTTCCTGGTGACAGCCCCCTTAACCTCAGTCCTCTCCAGTACAGTAATGCCTTTGATATGTTTGCAGCCTATGGAGGTCTAAATGAGAAGTCTTTTGTGGATGGCTTGAATTTTAGTTTAAACAACATGCAGTATTCTAACCAGCAATTCCAGCCAGTGATGGCTAACTAAAAATAAACCGAAAGTGAAATCCAAGTAAATACTATTGTACAAGTTAAAATGCACGTACCCAAGGGTGTATCTTTTTTTCCACCTCTTGAGATTTTTTTTAAGGCTTGTAGTATGAATACATTCAGGCTTGGTTAGATAAATACAACATGCATCATTTTTTTCATTTGCCAACCAAGCACAA